TACTAGACGCAATAGCCAGAAAGCCAGGGTATGCATATTAACCTAGTCCTTGTACCTACTTTTTCCTTTTCAAAACAAAAGCAAAATGTGCTGCTTATATACCACCCCATAGCACAGAAAGCACTCTGGATTTTATTTGTTTAAATTTATATATTTGAAACACCTCCTTTGGGAAACCTATTCTAGAAAATACCTGCATTAACTCTCTGGCTAGTACTTTGGCTGTTGTTGATCTCAGGGGTATGGCCTCTGGGTACGGAGTAGCATAGTCGATCAAAATGAGAATATGTGTATGTCCTCCTGCAGATCTATTCAAAGGTCCTACTATGTCTAAACCTATCCTGTCGAAGGGATGGTCTACTAACGACATAGGTATCAATGGTGCCCCTGGTTTAGGTTTAGACTGTGTAAGATGACACTCTTTACATGTTTTGCAATAGTCCTCTATTTCCTGATTTATCTTAGGTTACCAAAATCTCTGTAACACCCTAGGTGCCATCTTCTGAACAGCCAAATGCCCTGCCATTAGAATGTCATGTGCTAACTGCAATACATTTACCCTCCATTTGTAACGAACTACCAGTTGTTTAGCCCCTTCCTTGTTAACCCGATATAGCTAGCCTTCATCTATCTCAATCCCCACTTCTCCAAGTTTAGTGGAAACTTATTCTTTCCCCTGTTTCAAGAAGTCAGTCAGAGTGGGTCATTCTGCTGCCAGAACCTGCTTTGTTCCCTAGATGCCCCTTCCAAGAAACCTTCCACTTTGTTCAACTCCAAACATTCTCCTTGTATTCCTTCTTTAAACCGTATCAGTTCATGAGCCCCTACCCAGTCTTGGACTAAGAACATCTCTTTAGCCAGACTGGGCATCACCACTACCTTTAACTTACTCTCTCACCCACCCCCGCTATTTCCACCTGAAAATTTTGCTGCAAGTTTGTTCTGACCCTGAACTTGCAGCACCTTTGGATTCTGGCTGACCCAAGAGCAATCAACACCAGGACAGTCTCATTGTGGTGTCCTTCCATGCCACACTGATAGCACACATCACAAACGTCTCTTCCTCCTCTCCAGTTCAGATATGCTTAGTGTATCCTGGAATCAACCATCACTGGCTGTATCGGCTTAGGTCCTACAGGCCCAAAGCTTTCGCCTCTTCCTCTCCTGGATCCATTTCCCAACATCGGTCCGCGTGGCCATACTCCTGAAAAAACTGCTGTCTCCATCTTCTCTCTCCCTCGGTTTCGTTCTTGGTTTAGGGCGGGGTTATCTCGATTATTGTCCTCAGCAATACAAAAATCCTCCACTAGATGGACTGCTTCTTCTAAATCCTCCAGGTGATTACGTTGAACCCAGCAGCGCATATTACTGTTCACTGTAGTCACTAATTGTTCCATTACCATTAAATCCAGCATCTGATCTTTCATTTTTTCTTCTGACCTCATCCATCAGATTAAGTTAGCCTTCATTTTTGGTAACAATGATCTCGGATGCATGCCTTGTTTTAACTTTAGATCCCTAAACCTTTTATGATAGGCTTCTTCTTTTGTCAAATTGCAACAGTTACTCGCTCGAACATGTGGAGATAAGCCTCTGAGTCATCTTCAGGTCCCATCTTCTGTATTTGTATGGGGGCTGGCCCTGCCACCCAAGGATTTTTTATTGGTATTCTCACCTTATGATCTCTTTCTTCTCTGTTTTTTAATATCTGCATCATTAACAACTGCTGTTGCTCAGTCAAAATATCTATTAACTTTTATTGTCTTTCAACAGTCTGTTATAACCTCCACTGTCTTGACTTTCCCTCTTCTGGAACTGCCCCACGTTGGGTGCCAATGTGATCGGGTTCTTTGTCAGTGTCTGAAAATTCCTTGTTTTTGGTGGGAAATGAAAAGAGAGGAGATCCTTTGAACAATTCTTTATTAACAAAACTAAGGGGTTTTTCTACCACCACTTCAACAGGATCAACAGGGTCAACGTTAATATTTAAATCAGCCCACAAGGGCAGTGTATTTTCGTAATTGTCTCTTTTCAACGGAAAGATTGGCTGAAGTGTTCTTGATCCGTCAGTCTTCTCAGGCAGCCACTCCTTACCGCATATATATCTCGCAGCAAGGATGACGTGACCATTCCCCTTCGGAAGGCTTCTCATGCGGTTGGACCGGTCCTGGCTGAATCACCTTCTTCTAAAGACCTCAGGCTTCTCATGCAGTTGGACCGGTCCTGGCTGAATCACCCTCTTCTAAAGACCTCGTCCTCAAGGGTATACTAAAACTGTCCATTTCTCCGGTCCCAGTCCTCCGATAATTGGTTTTCCTTCTTCTGCCTTTTTCTCCATCTCCATATGGTCTCAGCTTTCAAAACCTATTCCCTTCTGCGGGTTCTGGAACACTCTCGGTTTCCCTTCTACTTCTAGCCATTCCTCTTCCAACACCAGCACCTTTCACGTCTCTCCTGATTCCTTCCCCTCCTCCAAAGTTAAGGAAACATCTACCTCCCTCCTCTCTCTCTTTCCTGACTCCTCTTCCTCTTTTCCCACCTTTAATCCTTTCATCTTTGCTATAACTTTCGTTATCTCTTCCTTTCCCACTTCTCTTTTGCCTCTTTTACAGACGTATGAGGGGACGGCCCACTCTCACTCTTCTCTTCCATTTTATCTTCTTGCTCACACACAACAATCCACTTAATTGGATAGTTTACAATTCAATTATGTAGGCTACACATTGCCCCCACCCCCAGCAAGCTGGGTACTCAATTTACCAACTTTAGAAAGATGGAAGGCTAATTTAATTTCAAGCTCGCTATCTGAGCCCATTGGGAACAAACTCAGGTCGTGAGCAGAGTCTTGACTGCAGTTTAACCACTGTGCCACAAAAACACTGGTCCAAAATTTCAGCTGGTTGGTGGGAGAGATATTGCTTTATTATTTCACATAGCATTCTTAGTGTTGTAATGTACAGCTTGCTTGTACCTCGGGAACAGCCTTTCAAACTTGGTGCTTGGAGATGTTTAGGATTACAACTTCCAGCATTCCTGAATGGGCTTGGTTTACAGGTATGAAATCCAAAGGTATTGAAGAATAGGTACAGAATTCTCAAAATATATTGTTAAGGTGGAAGCAGGGAGGCTGCTCTGGCTAATGCTCTGTACCCAACCCTTTTGTTTTTCCCTAAACCAGGCTACAGGCCAAGCAACATTCAACACAGTTGTCCTAATGTTAGTTTCTTGTTCACCCAGGACTGTGTTTACTGCTCATCAATTGGAGGAACTGGAGAAAGCTTTCAATGAAGCTCATTATCCTGATGTGTATGCCAGAGAAATGTTAGCCATGAAAACAGAGCTTCCAGAGGACAGAATACAGGTATGCTCCTATATATTTGACAAATGTTCAAATAAGGTTTGCATATGCTACTAGACATGATACTTCCAGGTTATGATGAATGAAAACAAACACAGAAGAGGTGCTTATATTCATTTCCTCTATACTTCATCACTTTCCAGAAGAGAGTCTTAGAAATACTAATGATCTGTTATGATGAACGAGAGGCAAATGAAACGTTTGTCACCATCTGTGTTTCTGTCATTCTTTGCCTTCCTTTCATCCCATATATTCAAAATAAACTCATTTCCCATTCCAATCAATCATGCCATGAATTTTACAACAAGGTCTGTCAAGCTGCCAGTCAGAACTTCGTTTTGGGGAAGGACGCTTGAATCTTTAAAAGGTCTTGCCAACAGCAATGGGTGCTCTTTGCTGAAGCTGGCTTCCTGTGGGCTTTTGCTGTTGATTGAGGTCCTTGGCTTGTCGTATCTTAATTTTGAATTCACTGCTGTTGTGACTGGACTAACGGCTACTATAAAATAATTCTGAAACCTAAGGCTTGGCAGGTGTGGATTATCAGACCTTTTAGGGTGAGAGCAGGAGTAAGGAACTACTCAGAGTGCTGGAACAATGCTTGCCTTCCCCTGGACCTACAAGGACCTCATCCTGATGCTCTTTCCTCCCTCAAAAACAAAAGTGCTAAAATTGTATTCCCAGAAATATTTTGAGAAATGAAGATTGTCTTCTAAGTGCAATCCTGTAGGTCATTTTAGGCCAAAAATAACCTTTTTAGAAACAGGAAGCTTTTAACAAGGAGAAATTTGTTGGGGGGGCGCTACACTAGTGCTCTGTTGAACCACTTGTAATCTGTGGCCATGCTTTGCACACTCCTGGGTTAGGTGATCTCAGTGGAGTTCGCAGGCTTCCTTCTTTACACAAATGATAGCTTGAAAACTAATGAATTTAGGACAAAGAGTTTGACTTACCAGTATTGCATTCTATTGTATCATACTGGAGGAAGGTGCGCTCCTCCTCACACTTGTCCATAGATTAGATTAGGCATCCTTCAGTCTCGAGAGACTATGGTAACGTGCTCTGTATGAAGGACTTGGGACAGCATTTAGTGTGGCTGAGGCCAATTCGATAGTGACAATCCCTTCCACACTGAAGACAAATACAGTCTGTCCCCTGTCCAGCTCCCTGATTTGGTTGCTTTCGGAACTGCCTCTTTGCCTCAGCCTGCTGGACAAGGGTCTCTTCAAATTGGGAGAGGCCATGATGCAACGCCTGCTCTGATGTTAAACACAGTGACATTTGAAACTGTTTAACCATCTGACAGCTTCTCAAATGATGTTAAACACACTGACATTTTATTTTACAAAAGGATATATATTTTTAAAGTAAAAATAAACATCCATTACGACTTCTGACCAGAGGCTACAATGGATATGATTGTTTTTACTCTTAAGCTGTTGCTAAGAAAGTTTTTAAATCACTACCAGACAACAACTGAACTTTAATGGTAGACCTGCACCAAACTGTTGTCAGTGAGCATGCTGTCTAAGGATTCAGGGAGTTGCATTCTCCCCACCCCTAAAAAAGCTTTTGGAAGCTTTCCCTGTATCTGAGCTGCTACCACCAACCAAAAATTCTTACACAAAACACTGGGTCAGAGATAATGAAGAGCTCACTGTTGCACCCTTGAGTCATTTTGTTTTTGTCTTCTAAATTCCACCCAATTTTGTGTCATCTCAAATTTGATAAGCATTCCCTGCACCTTCTTATCCAAATCATTAATAAAAATATTGAAGAGCAACTGCTTGAAAGAGAAGTGATTGTGAAAATCAGCCATTTTCTTGTTTGCTCTTTTTAAGTTACTAGAAGCAAACTGATCTAGTATAAATCTTCCAGGTGTCTGCCTGTAGATCCCAGTCTAACTTCTGCTTACCTCTGTCTTAGACCATACTTATGCACTTTTGACTGCACATTCTTTATTAGCCTGTCTTCTTCCCCTACCCCTCAAGCCCATATAATTTACACGCGCATACTACTGTTAAATATTGGGATGTCTCCCAAAGGTTTGGTTTCAAAACCGAAGAGCCAAGTGGCGGAAGCGTGAGAAGTGCTGGGGCCGCAGCAGTGTGATGGCAGAATATGGTCTCTATGGTGCCATGGTGAGACACTCCATCCCACTACCAGAATCAATTATCAACTCTGCCAAAAGTGGGCTTGTTGGTTCCTGTGCTCCTTGGCTGCTCGGTAAGTAAATGAGCAACCCTTTACATGAATTGGTTGCATTAATATTCAGTTAGCCAAGTGGGACTTGCTGTCTGTATGATTTCAGAGCTTAGACAAGTTACTTTTTTGGATTACAGCTCCCTAAATTCACTTGTCAGTATGGCCAATGGGAGTTATGGACCAAAAAACCAAAACAAAATAAAAAAATTATTCCTGACTCTGTATGAAATACTTACAAATGGTTCCCAATATCACCCTTTCTCCTACTTTCAAGGAAGGATTGCTTCAGTCTTCCTCTAATTCTGAGGGTCAAAGCAGAGTCTATAATCAGACTAAATTAGCATGTCATTAAAAGAAGCAAAGCAGAGCAAAGTGTGATGCTTATATACTGCCCCATAGCGCTTCAAGCACCTCTCTGAGTGATTTACAAATTAATTAAGCAGGCTACACATTGCCCTCCCCAGCGAGCTGGGTACTCATTTTACTATCGGAAGGATAGAAGGCTGAATCAACTTCGAGCCAGCTACCTGGTATTGAACCCTGGGTTGTGAGCACAGTCTTGGCTACAGTACAGCAATTTAACCACTGCACCAGGAGAAAAAAGTGTTAAAAGAGAAACAGTGTTTTAACCACACCACAAACTCTCCTTCTTTGAGCCTTGTATGTGAGTGTTCAGTCTAAAAACTATGCTTTAACTGAACGTTTAACTCTTGATGATGACCAATTACAAAATAAAGCAAGCTGATCAATAGAAATGTTAGTGAGATTATGAAGATTTTGCGAACATTTAAGGGTCAGAATTCTACTGGTATTAATTGTATTACTTCATGCAGTTAATTATGGCCAATTGTGGAGGTGCCATGGAGAATCTCAGCTGCACAACAACACATAGCTAGCACATGATGGATACTTGCCTCAGCACCTAATAATTTAGCCACAGTTAGCTGTGGCAGTGGCTAGTTCTAGAGCGGTGGTTCGCAACCTTGGGTACCCAGATGTTCTTGGATTAAGAATCCAAGAAGCCTTCACCACTAGCTGTGCTGGACAACATTTTTGGGAGTTGTAGTCAAAGAACATTTGAGGACCCAAGGTTGGGAGCCATTAGACTGTAGACCATTGATCCACCTGATGATGCCACTGATTGTCACTAGTAGTCAAAGAACATTTGGGGACCCAAGGCTGGGAGCCACTAGACTGTAGATAATTGATCCACCTGATGATGTCACTGATTATCAGTACTTCTCCAGGATTTTAGAAAATATTTTATTTTATAATTACCATGGCTTTAACCCCAGCAGTATAATCTTTATCTTTACATAATACAGCCCAGAGCGTAAACCAAAATTCAGTAGAGATCAGGATTTTGAAATTCCAGCTGAGATCAGAATCAGAGCAGATGCTCTGCCTTCCATGCATGGAGTTGCATGACATCTCATTATGTACTGAAGGCCATTCTAATATATTTTTTTGCTACTTGAGACAATGGGCATAATGGCAGCATCCTACCACTTTATATACAGATTTCAACTGGACTGGCATCTAAATCTTTCTTCAGCATTGGCAATGATATATGGTATCCATTAGAACTGCTGGATAGCTCGCTGGTTAAGCATGTGGTAGCAGAATAAGAGGTTGGGACTTCAATTCTCCACTATGCCTCCTTTACGTCTGGACTTGCAGCTTTGCAACTCTAAGATAAATTGAAGGCCGTAAGCTAGTTCAGGAGACTAAGGATACATTGTGGTAGATAAACAGCTCTATTCTAACCACTGGGGAATTCCAAAAGAAACAGCTGAAATCCAGGTATAGCAGAGAGAGAGAGAGAGAGAGGGGAGAGAGGAGAGAGAGAGAGAGAGAGGATTAAAGGAAGTGCCACCGTCGGTGAAAATTTGTGAATCACAAAAAAGGAATAAAACCCAACTCACTCAAGATAAAAGGTAAATTTTTAAAAAAGGCAACAACCATGATCAACAGAGACTAATAATAACATGATATTAACATGATATCGGGAAGGCCTGAAATAATAAAAATGTCTTGGCCCAAAATCAGAAAAACATTAAGGCTTGCCACCAGGCCAGCCCCTTTAGGAAGACTATTGATCTTATGATTAAAAAAGGTTCCACGTGATACATTTTGGTTTCTTGAGTGAGTCTACTTAAAGCAGTAGGATCCTGGGCTGGTTCTGCACATCTTGTAGTTCAACTTACTTAGCCAAATATTACCCCATGAGTTTTCATAGGAATTAGCAGTGAATGACCACTCAGTCGATGTTTGATAGTCTTCCTTATCTCTAGCTAAATTAATGAAAAACAAATTAGAAATTTTAAATAATTTGAGGAAAATATGTCACTTAGGCCCAGCATTTGGAACATTATCTTGACCTTATTCTAATTGTGCTCTGGGGAAAAGCTACAAGTGTACAGAAATATCCAAGATGGTAGCACCAACACCCTAAATTTATTTATTTATTTATTTATTTATTGAACTTATATGCCACCCATTTAGTGGGCGGCTCACAAATACGTAATAAAAACAATTAATATAAATTCATTTAAGATTTGATGGGAATACAAAAGTGGTAAAATTGGGGCCTTGATTTTCTCTCTAAATACTGCCTTCCTAAGCAGAAATGGTACAGTAATACATAGTTGTACGTACGTATTGAAAAACCCCTGGAGTAAAATGAGCCTTGTTCCCAGACAAATGAGTAGATTGCAACTTGAATTTGGTTGTTTTATTCCTACATAGAACAATCAATAGGTATGTGAACCAAAATCCAAATAACCTTTTAAGGTACCTACCCTATAGAATGTCTTCATTAATTTTTACTGTGTATACAGAGGTACCTGCACTGAAAGGCATGCCACTTCTCCTCAGACAGATAATGCAGGGAAGAATAGGGTGCGAGCCAATTATGTTGGCTGTGTTAGACGATAACTAGGCTGTGCTTTGTAAGCTTAGTAGGAAAATGTCCACATTGGTAAGAATTGCACAAAGCTGCAGCCCCTTTATTTCATTCTTGTGGCTACTTCCTGTGCCACAAGTCTTGCCTTTTACTAGAGTGTTGCCCCCAGTTGTCTTCTGAAATTTGGAATTCAATCTTCAGGCTGGAAAATGTTGTGTAATCCCGGCTTAAAGTTATATGCCATGGTGCAGTCCTATTATTTTAGAATAGTGAGGGACCAAGCTTCTCCTCCACTGTTGTTGCTCACTCTGAGATATGCCTCCTTGTCTGGAGAAGCACATCAGTTCTCTGAGACTTCAGTCAGTGCCCTAAAACCTAGAAATCTTACTCCTCACCACTGCCTATTCTAGCAAGCGCTATAGGGAGGTTGCAGCCCAACATACGGAAGGTCACAGTTTTCTCAAGCCTTTTTAAGCCACTAGGTTTCCTTTTTCTGTAGTTGGCAATGTGTAAAGCAGGAATGGGGAGTGGAAGTTGCTGTGCTGCAACTTTTAACAGTCCTGGATAGCGTGGTGGTGGTGAAGGATAATGGAATTGTAGTCTAACCCCATCCAGAGTTCCACACGTCCCTGGAGTAAAATAATAATGAATGGCAGTATTTTTCAGTTAAGTCAGATAACCAGCCTTCTCTGTCACTGTTTTTAATCAGTGCTCTCTTTCTTCTTTTAAATAAAGGAATGCATAAAAAATCAATGGATATTCCAAGAAAGATGGAAACAGAGGAAAAGGGAAGTACTGGCTGGAAATCTGAATACTCTGAAGAGGAATTAAAAATGAAGCACACAGATCAGGAAAGAGGCTCTGCTGACAATTTTAGCTCCATGGACAATTCTGAAGACATTGCTATGGATCTCTCCAGCACTGCAAAGCAGGAGAAAAAGAGCAGCATGTTGAGGGAGAGTCTTGCAGCAGGCCCGCAACTCAAAATGAAGGACAATGAGAACTGAGTGTGGGATGGTAGGGTGGGGTGGGTGGGGTCTCACACTGACAATAAAACAGACCAACCTCTTTATGTTTTGGGAAAATGTGAATATTTATTAATGTTTTATTAATATTTATTAGTATTTTTTCAGCTAGCTAATTAATGCAACATTTTACATGTAAAGGGAACGTTTGAGATAGGACCTGTCCAAGAAATAAATTTATTTTTTCACCAAGAAACTTCTTTATATGTAAATGAGTAACTAGATGTGTAATTGGACCCTCCCCCTTAGAATGTCTCACTGAGTCACCTTTTATTAGCAGCTCTAGAAAATTATTGGGAAGCCCTCCGTTATACAGGAAGAAATGGAATGCACAACCATTAACCTAGACCAAGGGACAGTAATTAAGTTGAGCTTAGTTTTGTTTTCAGAGATGATAATCCTTATCAAAAACCTGGTTTTTAAAATTTCACAATCCATGCTCAGGCAATACCGTTATTAGTATGAACCCAAAATTCATGACATTGTGGGGAAAACATTTTGAGACCTTCACATTTTTGTACAGCTGCTTACAGTTTTGTGCATATTGGCTGTCCTATTAATATTCTGACTTAAAGCAAAATCTGCAATTTTTCTCATGAGTCAAGATGGTTTGATGTGTAAGTTGTTTTCAAGATTGGAAGCTACTTAGGGCAGATATGGTAAACAGCTTGTATTTTTGCAGGCACTACATGAGGAAAGAGGATGGGGAGGTAGAACAATGTGGGCATGCGGTTGAAATATGGAGACTTTTTCTCTGTCTTTGTAGGGAAACTGGAAAGTAATTATTGTGCATTATTCAATGACATTTTTTTTCAGGTCAGCTCACAGTCCTCTGAACAGTTGTGAGCAATTTCTGCATCTCTAGATGTTACTAGACTACAAACCTCCAGCTTCTGTCACCAGTGGCTATCTTGCCTAAAACTGATAGAAGCTGTAGTTCAATAGTGAAAAGACTGCTCAACTCTGCTCAGGAAACTAGATTATCAGCAGGCCATCCATATTATAGGGCAGGCTTTCCTAACCCACCATTTCCAGATTTTTACTACAAATCACATTGCTCTCCAATGGCTAGTGATCATGGGAAGTGTATTCCAACACAAATAAAAGGTGTCATGCTGGGGAAGATGCTAAGGTATACCATTAAGTCTACACAAAACTTTTGGTATATCTTTCTCATACCATTTTCTTGTTATTTCACTAGCAAAGCATGCTGGACAGAACCACCTCTCCAAAATCCACAATTTGTGTGGAATACACATGGAACCATGTACATCTCAGCCCAAATGCCCTATTTTATTTTGTGTCAGAGAATGCTTTGTCAATATCTAGAAGATATTCAGAAGAACTTCAGTCAGTGACAAAAGAGCAAAATAACCTCACATGGCCATAACACAAGTTTTTAGAGAATGGGAGAGATGCTAGCACCAAATCATGTTTTGATATTGAAAACCTTTTGTTTGCTTAGAAGATGCTGCATCTAGCTGCATTTGTTTACAATACTATTGTCTGCAGGGATACAGAAGGGTACTAGAAACACTGTGTGCTTATCTCCTTGGCCCCCTTATATTGTTTTAACCCCACTGATTTCACTAGCACTCCAGAGCTTTATATTGGTGAGGGAATTTATCCCTCTAACAGTGGCTTCAAGAAAAGAAATGAAACATGGTGCATCTCATTTTACAAAATTGTACTTGGGGAACAAAGATGCAATACTTCTACATTTTTGAATGTTATTTTATATGCTATGCATTGTAGAATTCAAACTTGTATGGAAGAAAGTAAGCCATGGAATTCAGATTTTTTTAATGCTATTTTGTAAAAATGTCATAGGAAAATACTTTATAATTATTAAGTCTGTAAAAGTGTTAATGTTTGGTCTTTTCCCCTATCTTGGTCATTTTATATTTATGTCTGAAAGCACTTTAGATACCTGAATTTTTTGAAAGCTGTCTCACCTGCTTTGTCACTTATTTATTAATACATATTCATAAACAAATGTTCTGTGTGGCTTTGTGGGGTGCATATTAGCTGTCAGATGGTTAAACAGTTTCAAAGCAAGGCCCATCTCTATTACAAGAGTTTGGAAACATTTTGGCTACAATTCTTCCAGATTACAGGAGTTGTAGTACCAAAAGCTGCTATTTCCGCAAACTAATTTATGTTTATGAGATCTTTTGAAACTTGAGTTACTTGGATTTTGAAGTGATTCCTGCACTTTGATTCCTGTAAAGATTGACATGCTAGTTAACTTTAAGAGCAGTATGACAATGGAATCAATTACCTCAAGAGGTAGTGAGTGCTCCAAAGCGGGAGGCATTCAAGAGAACATTGGACAACTACCTGTCAGCTCTGCTTTGATTTGTTTTCCTGCAATAAGCAGGGGGTTGGACTCAATGGCGTTATAGGCCCCAAACTCAATTATTCTATGATTCTATTGTGTCAAACTAATAACCCACCTGAGACAATTAACATGCAAATTAAGCTATTTTATCTTCCAGTCAATCAGTTAGAAAACAAAAAGGAAGCTAATTTGTCAAATATGGATTGAAGCACATTTCTGAATAAAGCACTGCTTCTAGAGAAGCATTTTCTCTAATGATGACTTGCATCAGTCGTTGCCTTTGCATGTTATCTTGCAACTATAATCCATGGAATATTACAGCTACCCCTTGGAAATTTAGGAAGGCTATGGGGTAGAGGAGCTGCCAATATTCAGTGGTTCTTAACCTTTGTTACTCAGATTTATTTATTTATTTATTGGACTTATATACCGCCCCATAGCGCTACAAGCACTCTCCGGGCAGTTTACAATTTTTAATTATACAGGCTACACATTGCCCCCCCAGCAAGCTGGGTACTCATGCTTTTGAACTGCAACTCCCAGAAGCCCCAGTCAGCACAGCTTGTGGTGAAGGCTTCTGGGAGTTGCAGTCCAAAACTCCTGAGTAACCTAAGGTTAAGAACCAGTGATGTAGTAGATGGAGTGATAGGCTGGGACTCAGGAAATCTGGGTTCACATCCCTAATTGGCCATATACTGTAAACTCAATGGACTGTAGCAATGGAACAAATACTCCTTTGTGGCCTCTGTGAATGCACACATATCAGTTTTACTGCAGCTGCGCAGAACTCCTTGGACTATTCTAGATCTTTAAAAAAAAGTAATTAGTAGGACGTTGCCCCATGGCGCGCATGCTCCGCCCACCCGAAATACCTCAATTCATTTTAGCCGCCGATGAAATCAGACTTCTGTAGTGACTTCAAGAGCGATTTTGTGATTTTCTGATCTTACGGTTTTTCTGATCTTTCAGACTGCCTAACGTTTTTGATTCTTGGATCATGGACTTAATCAAGTTTTTTATTTACGGATGTTTTCCTGTGAGTTATCTCTTCCCCTATCCCGCCCTTTTTTATGGCCTCCTCAGGCCCATTCAAGCGTTGCACGATGTGTCCCACTAAAATTCCTTTTACTGACAGCCATGATTGTTGCTTGTTCTGTCTGGGTGAGAGTCACCAGACTCACTCCTGTCTGGAGTGTAAAAAGTTAACAAAACCGGCTCTTAAATTCCAGCTGCAACAACTTAGGTCCCGCTTGTGGGGAAAATCCTTGGCACCCTCCAGTCTTCCAACCAGCCCCACAATGGAACCTACCCCCAGTGCCTCGATCTGAGCCCTCTCTTCCATTAGCTCCAACTACTCCCTCGCCGAGGACCTCCACCAAGGTTTCCAAGTCAAAATCTCCCTCAGCATCAACGTTGATCTCGATGTCAAAGTTTCTTCCTCGGTTTCAGCGAAGACCCAATCTGATAAGAAACAAAAGGATAAGGACAGAGTCAAACAAAAGAAAGCTAAGCGGGCTCCTAAGCCTCGTTAGCCTCGTGAGCCTCCAGTTGTCCACATTTCCCTCCCGTCTCCCATCTTGGAGATCCCGGACCATGATTCCATTTCGGAAGCGGGAGAGTCGAGTCCTCCTACTTAGGCTCAAGCTTCAGTATCGATACCGAGCTTCTCTCCAAGTCATGGCTGTTCTGAGGCTGATGTCCTTCCCATCCCGGCCTCGGCCCATTCTAGCCCTGTTTCGACCGGTGGGCGACTGTCATCCATCTTTCGAACTCAGAGGCATCGGTCTCACAGTCCCCTCTGCGTAAGAGGGCAGCAAAGTGTCACCACATTTCCCCATCTTCTCAGTATTGGGAGGTAATCTTTGTCCCATGTCCATCTCAATGCCATATCCTTTCTGAATATGGAGACCCTTTTTATGAGTTCGGTTGGCATGGTGATCGCCATCAATACCATTTTGACGAATTTGATCCACGATTTGAACAGGACTATTACAAGCTTCCCAATCCCATTCGGTATGCTTACGCTCCATCTGAGTCTTCTCCATCACCATTGCCACCTCCTCTTTGGAGTTGACATCAAGCTTATTACGAGCTCAATCCTATGGTACCAGTTTCTAAGAAGTCTGCTAAATACCATCTATCTAGCTCTGAAGTACTGTTATGCGATCCATCTCCATCTCACAAGCCATCTTGACACGAGCCTGTCCCATCCAAGCGGTCATGCACTTCTACAGTGTGTCGGCTTCAACATTGCGCCCAACTGTTTCTTTACCTGGATCCCGCTCTGCCCATCAGGTCCCAACATCAATCCCTCTTGTTCCAACTTCTCGGGCTCGTCAACGTTCTCCCTCTTCAACTCTCTCCATCCCTGGAGATTCTTCGGTTTCGATAGTTTCTGAGCATGATACTCCCTCTGAGGCTTCCAGAGAGTCTCCTTCAAACTTACCAACTCCTGATTCAGACGTTGCAGATGTTCATCCTCCATCCCCATCTGAGGACTTTACATCTTACTCTCAGCTCATCCTTCACATGGCCTAATCATTGGAGCTTGATATCGAACAACCTCCTCCCAAACAAGACCTTGTCTTTGATGACATAAACCAAGATAAGTTCTCCCCATTGAGTTTGGCATTCATTCCAGCTATGCTGGACCTTGTTAAAGAATCATGGGACAAACCATCTACATCCCTACAGATTTCTAGACGTGTTGAGAACCACTACTACACGCACGGAACAGAGATGGTGTTCCTTGTTAAACATCCTCCGCCTAATTCCATCATAGTACAATCAAATCAGTCCTGAGCTGGTAATCAGTCAGTCACTCCTACTAACAAGGAAGGGAGAAAGCTGGACATACTAGGTTGTTGTCTGTATTCTCTGGTTTCCTTCACTATGACGTTCTCAAACTACTGTACCAGGCTGCAATGGGGGCCTATCACAGGCAACTGTGGAACAAGATCCTTCCAGTCCTTCAGGCTGCTCCTGACAAGACTAGAGCCAGTGCCCTCAATACTCACCTGGAGGCCACTACCTTGGCTAAACAGCAACATTTAGCATCTCACCATATGGCTGACGCTGCCTCAGAGTCTTTGGCTTCTGCCATTGCCCTCAGACGGCATGCATGACTGCATTCCGCAGGGATCACTGATGATGCTCACATTGAGGATTTGCCCTTTGATGGTGTCGGCCTCTTCAATGATAAAACCGACAAGGTGATGGATAATTTGCATAAAATTCACAGGACTGCCCGTTCTTACTCAACTCAACAACGTAGATATCAACGTAATCAGTGGCGTAGGCCTTTCACATTCCATCAATCATATCAGCAGCCCTACCACCCTTACAAACCTCCTACTCCGGCTCCTGAGAGACCCAATTTTCCTCAGTCTTCTTCTTTTGCTCCTCCTTTCCAGTCCCAAGCTCCAGCACAGCTTAGACAAGCCTTCCGTCGACCTGCAAGAAAAAAAATAAACAGTATATTTGATTTGATTTCTCTGAATCTGATTCCCGACTGTCCCCATCATCCCCAGCTGGTTCCCTTTCTCAACAAGTGGTCCATTATTACCGAGGACACTTGGGTGCACATTATCATACATTATGGTTACCTGTTACAGTTTACGGACACCCTTCCACTCATCATACATTATGGTTACCTGTTACAGTTTGCGGACACCCTTCCACTTGGCTGTCTCTGACATACGACTTACTCACCTGCCCTAGAGAATGAAATTTCTCTTCTCATTCAGAAACACGCTGTCCAACAAGTATCTTCCAATATGTTCTAAATGGTTTTTATTCTCATTACTTCACCATCCCCAAACGTGATGGAGGCCTTCGCCCCATCCTGGACCTGCGGCTTCTCAACACCTACATCCGTCCGAGACGTTTTTGCATGGTCACCCTAGAATCTGTCATTCCATTTCTTTCTCCAAACGATTGGTTTGTGGTTGCAGATCTACAAGATGCGTATTTCCATATTTCCATCCACGAACATCACTTCAAGTACTGTATCTTTGTTTCCTCTTCATGGACAGGGCTTACCAATTTTGTGCCCTCCCCTTTGGGGTGTCCACTGCTCCAAGAACTTTCACAAAGTGTATGGCTCCTGTGGCTGCTTATCTTCATCTGCACAACATCACGGTATTTCCGTATATAGACAATTGGTTTCTCCTGTGGCTGCTTATCTTCATCTGCACATCATCACAGTATTTCCGTATATAGACAATTGGTTGATAGTAGCAAGATCATACTGCACAGCCCGAAGGGATTCTACCTTTGTTTTTCAGACTCTGACAGATCTCGGCCTGCCAGTCAGCTAGAAAAAAATCTCATCTCGAGCCATCTCGAACCATGGATTATAATGGGCTGCATCTCAATTCCATCACATCCAAGGTATTTCCCCCTTCAGAAAGAATACTCAAGTTAAGGTGAGCCATTCCCCCCCTTTCAGTGTTACACCACAGTCACTGCTTAACATATGCAGCTGTCACGTTCCAGGGGTTACAACAGCTGAAGTCCGATAAACCAGTCCAGGGTCAAGAATACCAAGAATGCAAAGCCAATGTCCATAAATCAACTCACAGAAGGAAGTCCAGCGTCAAAGTCCAGAGTCCGATACGCAGCGTAGTCCAGGGTCAGAGTCCAAAGTCCAATACCAGCGTAGTCCAAGGGCAGAGTTCAGGTTCAAGAACCATGGATGCAAGCCAAGGTTTCGACTCTTTGCTTCCACAGAATTTCTGGCTTCACTGGGAGCTGTTTTATAGTAAAACAGCTCCTTGAGCTGCTGGAAAGCTTTCTATCCTGCTAATACTCAGGACTAGATGAACGTAGGTTTCTGTGGACAGCCTTTGAGGGATCCTCTGATCTTCTTGTTCTAAGTTTTTCCCGAAGCCTGGCCCCAAGCTTGTCTGCTGTGGAAGGAGAATCTGGAGGTGGTTCAGGTGTTTCTGATCTCACAGCATTCTCTTCAGCCTCAGTTAACCCTTCTGGGTCCAGGTCTTCGGATGCACTCATGACAGCAGCACCTTCTAGGTCTGATGGCTTCAACTACGTCTGTACTCCAACATGCTCGACTGAAGATGTGGTCCTTACAGGCTTGGAACCTGTCCCAGTTCTACCCTTTGATGAACTATCCTTCCAAGCGTCTACTGGTGACCCTGGAGTTAGCTCGCCAACTTACCTTGTGGACCTTTGTTCTTCACCTGGTTGGCTGCCCATTCAGGCCTCTCTAACTCACAGACCCTGGAGTTAGCTCGCCAACTTACCTTGTGGACCTTTGTTCTTCACCTGGTTGGCTGCCCATTCAGGCCTCTCTAACTCACAGTACAAGTCACAACAGATGCCAGTCAGATAGGATGGGGTGCACACTGTGGTCATCCATGTTTTGTGGTTAGGCTCAGAGAAACTGCTGCACATCAATCACCTAGAGTTGCTAGCAGTCATCCAATCATTCCGAGCTTTCCACTTCCTCATAGCTGGTTGCGGTGTCCAGGTCATCACAGACAATATGACCACCCTGTATTATATCAACAAACAGGGTGGCACCCATTCTTAAAATCTTCCACATTTACCAAATCAGCTGTGGGAATGGTGTTACTATCACCATGTCTTTCCTGTGGCTCTTCACGTGCTTACAGAGAACAATGAGGTTGCAGGCCGTCTGAGCCATTTTACCATCCAAATCCACGAGTGGACTCTCGACGATACCATTTTCTCTCGTCTCTGCAATCGGTGGGGAACACCAGATCTTGACGTCTTCACCACTCAGGTAAACTCCAAATGCAGCAGGTACTGCTTTTGGGCAGGAAGAGGAGAGAACTCTCTAGGTGATGCTTTCATGGTGGACTAGGGCAATAGCCTTCTTTATCTCTTTCCACCCATTTCTCTCATCCAGCGAACGATAGGCTGCGTCAGCTGAGCTCCGATGCCATTCTAGTAGAACCATGGTGGCTTTGACAACCATGGTTCACAACTCTCAGAGCCATGACTACCAACTTCCTGAGATTACCTCTTCAACTGTCCCTTCTGACTCAGGATGAAGGCCAAATTGTCATCCTGACCTCGACTCTCTACACCTTACAGTGTGGAGAATTCCCCCATCATTTTAGATAGGGCTAGGAAGCCCACTACTCAATTATTATACAGTATTTGTATGCCTTACAGTGTGGAGAATTCCCCCATCATTGTAGATAGGGCTAGGAAGCCCGCTACTCAATTATTACATTTGTAATAGTGGAACGCTTTCACCAAATTTGCTGCACCACAGAAATTGCCCATGGTTCCAGTTTCCTTGGACAGCTTTCTCAGGTTCCTTTGTTATCTGTTTGACCAAGGTTTGGCTCATCCAATGTTGAAAGTTTATATTTCTGCTATAGTTTTGTATCAGCCTGTGGGGTTTGAGACCTCTAGTTTATTATCTCATTCTACCTTGAAAAGATTTCTGAGAGGTTTACGGAACATGCGCCTACCTACACAGCCTCCACTTCCGCAGTGGTCTCTCCAGGTTGTTCTCCATGCACTTGTTCGTCCTCCATTTGAACCCATGGCTTCTGCACATCTCAAACTTCTTTCTATCAAGACTTTGTTCCTTGTGGTTATAACTTCTGCATGTAGAGCAAGTGAACTGTCTGCTTTTCAAGCTGATGCCCCTTATATTCAATTTTACCCAGACAAGGTGGTGTTATATCCAGATGTATCCTTTCTTCCCAAGGTGATTTCAGATTTTCATGTTAATGAACTGTTAATCCTTCTGAAGTTGTTTCCAAATCCCTCTTCTGATGTTGAGTGCATGCTCCACTCCCTTGATGTTCTTCGCGCCTTACCATTTGATATTTCCAGGACTAAGGAATTTTGCACTTCTCCTAGACTCTTTGTATGCTTCCGTGGCCAATGAAAAGGCTCTCCTGCCTCCTCGCAGACATTTTCAAGGTGGATTGTCTCTGCTATTATTTTGGCTTATGACTTGGCAGGCAAGACTCTGCCAGAGGTGCTAAAGGCACATTCCACGAGAGTTATGGCAACTTCTATGGCTTGGTTGTGTGGCATTGAGGTCCCTGATATCTGTTGAGTGGCCACTTGGTCTACACCCTTGACTTTTGTGATGCACTATCATCTTGACATCAGGACCAAGATGGAAGCAAGTTTTGGAAGGGCTGTGCTGACTTCATTGTTGGTGTGATGGCCCCCTTTCAGTAAGTGAGCTTCCTAGTCACCCATTTGTGTGCATTCACAGAGGCCATGAAGAAAAAAAGAGAGGTTACTTACCTGTAACCATATTTCTTCGAGTGGTCTTCTGTGAATCCACACATCCTGCCCATCCTCCCTGTTGTCCATCACTTGGTATCTTGAGCTTGTTGGAGTCAGAGCCTTGACAGTGGTGGACATTCCGGAACTGAGGTGTTTCAGGCGGGTGGAGCAATGTCCTACTAATTACATCTTGTTAAGCTCTAGAAAATTCCGAGGAGTCATGCGCAGGCACAGAAAAAACCATTTGTGTGGATTCACAGAGGACCACTTGAAGAACTATGGTTACAGGTAAGTAACCTCTCTTTCTTAAATATCTCACATACATTGAAAATCTTAGGATCATTGTAAGTCACACACAACTTGATGGCATACAATAACAAATGAGGTAGAGATTTCCCAGAAATACAATAGGCCAGTGGTGCATTTACCATAGAGCTAGATACATGCTATATGCCCTTAAACTTTGCACCTTATAACTGAAGGGAAGTTTGACCATTCAGGATGCATAAAGCCGATGGAGGGGCATTCAGTGGTGGTCATATGACACACATTATCACTGCCGTTAACCACAAGACTGAAAATACTGTGACACGGAAGTCACACAGATATGACAGTGAGCATAAGGAGAGAACATGGCTGAAATTCAAGTTATGCATTTGTTTGTGAATAGCAACATTTGCTAAGCAGGCTAAAAAAGGTAAATCACCATCTATGCAAACAAAAAGCAATGTTTTAAAATAGAATTGTCAGTTGTAAGTCTTATTCAAATAAACGCTGTACATTTTAATCATTTTATATTATTTTATTTTATGAACCTGTTTAGTACAGTATATATGTAGGCAGATATGGACTACTGGGTAAAGAAGCATGTGAAATATAAATCAACACAATGGTTGATATCCTATTTACCTGATCCTTTTATTTACCCTGTTTGTTGTTTCAATAAACCTTGTTCTTTTGTTTATTAAAATCCATTCCTGGTCTGTGTGACTCCTTACAGGGAATGGTTGGTGGCAGCATAATTACAGGGTGGGATACTCCAGTAGGTCTGGGGTTGCCACATATATGTAGGCAGATATGAACTACTGGGTAAAGAAGCATGTGAAATATAAATCAACACAATGGTTGAAGCCAGGCCATGTTCCCATGTCAGTTTATACTGTTGCAGCTTACAAGGTCAAATTCCAAGCCAAAATCATCTGCTGCTCCTTCCTGACATCATTATATAAAAGGGTTATATATATATGGAAAATCAGTAAGATAATGCCAAAAATCATCCATACTTTGTATAATTTTATAAACTCACAGTCCTTGCTTATTTTCTTTTCTGCATCAGACAGAATTGGCCTGCAATCACATTCTAACAAACAAATTGAAATATTTCCAATTTTTCTGAAAATGATTTAAAGGTTTTATTAAAATCTAGGTAATTCCAGTTTGGAAAGATTCCTAATGGAGATTAACATGTGAATTTTTTTAACCTGGCACAGGAGTTCTAGCTGTATACATGTAGGCCAAGGCATGTCGTGAGAACAGGGGAAAATAACATTAGCCAGGGAAGTTTTAGAAAATAATATTCAGAACACCATAGTATTAAAAACACTATGATCAACAGATGCTGTGGATTGCTATAGTAATACATGTACCAAAATACTCTTAAAATAACTAGGATTGGTCCGATTGAACAGAAAGGGATGATAAGAGATTGGGGCATAAGTAATTATTTATGAGACACAAATACTTAGTCTCTGAAAGTAAAAATGTAGCGAACAAGGCAAATAATGATTGGTAAAAGCTTATTTAATCAGAAATTAGGCTTTGCAAGAGCTGAGGTTTGGCACATTTAAAGCTTAATCCTGATTCAGCAGCATTTACAAACAAATTTATCTGGGCCGTGTAATGCTGGCAACCAGCATCCTGTTGCATTTCTGACCACATCTCCTGCAGGACACAGATGGCAATGTATCTCTTTACTTAGCACACTTAAGAGGAGCAGCCAGCCATCACTGAAAATGGAACAGCAGATAAAACATAAACATGAAATCCAGTGTTCCCAAATTATGTTTCCCCCTTTTTCTTTCAGGCACAATACTTACTAACCATTTTAATACTGGGGACAACTAGCCTCTCTCCCACCCATTCTGCCTTGAGGTATGGTCAAAAGCCTCCCATGAAAAAGAAGGGGAAGAACATGGTATCCTCAAAAGGATAAGAATAAATGCTTTTTAAAAAAGGAAAACAAATACGTAAGTCCAGGAGGTGTTGCTGTTTATTTTCTGAGGACTCAACTCACCAATAGACTCCCCTTTAGATATTGGTGCCCTCTAAATTTTTGTGTCCTGGAACATGGACCCAGTTCCTTCACCTTAGTTACAGTTCTGCTTTTATGAACCTATGAAAGTAATGCTGCCTGCTTTAGCACGTTCTCCCTATAATCCCGTTTCTATTATCTGGGCTCCGTTTTTCTCTCTCTGAACAAAGCAGAGGAGGATTAAGATCTTTTGCTGTCTGAAACAAAATACTGTAGTGTCTGTTGCCCACCACAGACAAGGTGCACTGTATCTGAAGGCAAGCAAGTTATTCAGCACATGAGGAAGAGGATTCCACACATACCTCTCTCCCTCTCTGGCAGCAAAAATATACAACACATTAGATAATTAATATGTACCATCAACTCAATTCAGCCTTATGGCAACCCTAACAGGATTTTCAAGGAATAGTTTTCCATTGCTCCCCACTGTGAGTTTCTGTGGCCAAGTGGGGATTAAACCCTACTCCAGCATTCTTTCTACAACAGCATACTGGCTCTTTTATTATGACACCTAAAACCTGCTGCAGGAAGCATCAATTCCCACTAACTGTTTGGCTAGCTAGAAGTTCCAAATCTGTATATTCTGATACCCTCAGATTACAAGGCCAAGCGTAAGATCAGGGGCAGGCCCATATGATGTTACAGAAGGTGGGTCCTTATGTAACAATAGCAAAAAGAAAATGTGTGCATTTGTTGTTGTTTAGTTGTGTCTGATTCTTCGTCACCCCATGGACCAGAGCCAGGCCCTCCTGTCTTCCACTGCCTGCCAGAGTTGGATCAACTTCATGTTGGTCGCTTCGATGACACTGTCCAACCATCACATCCTGTCAACCTATGGTTCACCTTCACACTTTCCCAACATCAGGGTAATTTCCAGGGAGTCTTCTCTTCTCATGAGATGGCCAAAGTATTGGAGCCTCAGCTTCAGGATCTGTCCTTCCAGTGAGAACTCAGGGTTGATTTCCTTCAACTGATAGTTTTGTTCTCCTTGCAGTCCAGGGGACTCTCAGGAGTCTCCTCCAGCACCACCATTCAAAAGCATCAAAAGCATCAATTCTTTGGCAGTCAGCCTTCTTTATGGTTCCTTGATGGGAAGGAGATGGAAGTCTAAATATTAAATACACAAAAAAAATCAAGTTTTGCCCTTCTTCAGCACTGTAAGACCTGAAATTTATCCTTCTACATAGCAATGTGGGGGAAATGCAGCACACCTGGTACATGACAACCTATGGTTCATGTAAGCAACTCTCTCTCTTTCAATGCATGCTCCACTTTTTAGAGACACAATCCAAACTACATGTATGTATGTGTATGCATGTGTTTATGTGTGCATTTTGTGTGTGCATTAGGCGCAGGCTAACTTGTGAATTCTTATACTGTACAGACACATGATGGATGGTAGAAAAAGTAATTTCCCAGCTCCCGCCAACCTAGTGGTTTGAAAGCATGTAAATGCGAGTAGATAAATAGGGACCACCTCGGTGGGAAGGTAACAGCGTTTCATGTCTAAGTCGCACTGGCCATGTGACCACGGAGGGGTGTCTTCGGACAAACAAGCTCTATGGTTTGGAAACGGGGATGAGCACCCCCCCCCAGAGTCGAACATAACTGGACAAAAATTGTCAAGGGGAACCTTTACCTTACCAGGTATCTGTTAATACTTAATCTGTTACAGTTAATGAGAAAAAATTATGACACCTGAGAAATTAATAGATTTATTATGGCATAAACTTTTGTTACAGGGCAATGCTTCTAGAATCTGGATTGGCCAGCTGCACACTACTACCCAAGAGATGCCCAAGTATACTCACAATGCTTTTTTACTCTTTGCGGAGGATCATTCTATGTCCCCCGTTAGAAGATCTTTGCTTGTATTATAAAAATAAACAGCTGAAACCAAACCCTTTAAAAACACGGGCCTGTGCCTTCCATTCAAAGAACAAGAAGCAGAAAGGAAGCTCTGAGTCAGCTGGGAAGGCAAGATTTTGGAACACTGCCTTACCCCAAAGTATCTGTGTGTCACTCTGGATTGAACCCTGACTTACAAAAACATTGTCTACAGTTGCCACGAGAAATAAGCTACTTAGGAAAGTTGTAGAAGGAGTGGCCATGTCAGTCTGTGCAAGAATTATAGGTGAAAACAAACAAAAAACAAATACAAAAATAAGACAAAACTATGGTGGCACTTAAAGACTAACTTTTACATTTTTTAATGTGAGCTCTTTTGGACAAGTCTACTTCACCAGACATAAGAGAAGGAGATTTAATATGGCAAATATTTATACACAATACCAAAGTATAAATATAATACATACAGAGATTGTGGTTGGTTGGTAAGACAGTCAGTGGGTGTGTGATTGTAGCATCGTTAATACATAGGTCATTCATAGATGCTTGCGCTGTAAAGAATGTGAGAACCTCTGTCATAAAATAATAATGGTGGAGTAACATGAATGTTCATTAAAATGTTAATGTTAATATTTGCAATGTTAAATCTTCTTCTCTTATGTTTGATGAAGTGGACTTGTCCACAAAAGCTCAAATTAAAAAATCTAATAGTTTTAAAGGTGCCGCCATGTTTTTGTATTTTTCACTTTTTATCTTATTTTCACCTATAATAGGAAACTGGCTGGGTCAGATTAGGATGCCCATCGACAAACAATAAGTGTCATGCAGTATATATCAGCACATGCCAAACAGGTGGATGTAGCTCTTAAGGAATCACGTAGAATTATTACTGACTACTGGAAACCTATCTCCATTGAAAAAGCATATTATTGGCTGGCATTGCCCCTCCAGAAGTATATTGACAGATGCTAGCAAATAATGAATGAAACAAGGTAATAGGTCAAGCACATTGAATTCATGGACACACAACCCCTAGACAATAGCTAAAATCGAGGAAAGGTTTTCTGCACACATCTCAAGCTCTAAATATGAAACCAGAATTGGCTACATTAAATCAATGGGGAACAAAAAGAACACATTTTGCTAAATGGGATTAATGCTGAAGAGTATCACTTACCAGGACCAGACTTTAGCTAGACCATCTGGCAGTTACTCAATGTTGTTCTTGTTGTTTAGCCATTAAGTTGTGTCTGAATCTTTGTGACCCCATGGACCAGAGCATGCCAGGCCCTCCTGTCTTCCACTGCCTCCCGGAGTTGGGTCAAATTCATGTTGGTAGCTTCAATGACACTGTCCAACCATCTTGTCCTCTGTTGTCCCCTTCTCCTTTTGCCTTCACACTTTCCCAACATCAGGGTCTTTTCCTGGGAATCTTCTCTTCCCATGAGATAGCCAAAGTATTGGAGCCTCACCTTCAGGATCTGTCCTTCCAGTGAGCACTCAGGGTTGATCTCCTTTAGAATTGATAGGTTTGTTCTCCTTGCAGTCCAGGGGACTCTCAGGAGTCTCCTCCAGCACCAACATTCAAAAGCATCAATTCTTTGGCAGTCAGCCTTCTTTATGGTCCAGCTCTCACTTCCATACATCGCTACTGGAAAAACCATAGCTTTGACTATGCAGACCTTTGTCGGCAAGGTGATGTCTCTGCTTTTTAAGATGCTGTCTAGGTTGTCATTGCTTTCCTCCCAAGAAGCAGGCATCTTTTAGTTTCATGGCTGCTGTCCCCATCTGCAGTGATCATGGAGCCCAGGAAAGTAAAATCTGTCCCTGCCTCCATATCTTCCCCTTCTATTTGCCAAGAGGTGATGGGACCAGTGGCCATGATCTTAGTTTTTGTGTTTTGTTTTGTTTTTGTGTTTTTAGTTTTTGATGTTGAGCTTCAGACCATTTTTGGAAAAGACCTTGATGTTTGGAAAGTGTGAAGGCAACAGGAGAAGGAGACGACAGAAGACGACATGGTTGGACAGTGTCACCAAAGTTACCAACATGAATTTGACCTGACTCTGGGAGGCAGTGGAAGACAGGAGGGCCTGGTGTGCTCTGGTCCATGGGGTCATGAAGAGATGGACACAACTTAATGACTAAACAACAACAAATAACATTGTTTATTAACATCTGTACATAGACAAACAGATTAATTCATGCAGCATGATAAAAAACCCTCTATCCCCTTCCATGCTATATGCCATAGAGTTGAACCTTCTGATGAATTCCTGGGAATTTTTGGGAGTCAGAATTTAAATACAGAAAGTACAAACAATGATAACTGCCCTAATAAAAAGTGTCAGAAGAAGCTTTAACTGTTGTCCTCTAAGTGAAACAAGTTATTTTTCAAATGGTGAAAACTTGAACTAAGCTAAGATGATCTGAGAGGCTGATACTATACCTTTGTTAATGAGAAGGCAGTTTCAGATTCTGAAAAAAATAATAATTGCATATGACATCAGAAACCCCAAATTCTCATATTAGTGTTATTCTGATAACTACCTCTATTCCTTAATGATTTTGATGGTGGTTTCAACTGCTAATGCTGAGGCGTTTGTTGCTGGGCTGGAAGTAACTAAAATGGCACTAGTAAATAGCAAATACAGTAATATTCCAAGTGCAAATGTGGGGGGAGAAACACAGCAACCTACAATTCCTTCCCATCTGGAATGTTGAAAACAGAAGCATGCGTAATGCTGTAAGTAATTCCACATTCTTTTTAATTTATCTGGGTTACAACATTTTCTGTCATATTTACATCTTTTCACTTTGCCATATGGACTGTTATATCCTAGGATTTACAAGTATTTACTGAATTAATGATAAGAGAGGAGGGGGGTGGCCATAATAATGAATTGTGTTGGGAAAATTGAGATTAGTTTGATTTTAATGTGAGAGAGGGGGAGTTATGAGATTGACTGGATTATGTATTTCTTTAGTGTTCATA